CCCCAAAACCCCAAAACCCCTGATGTAAATATATATCTGTTTATTAAAGTAATGAGTAAGTAAATTTCTTAAAAATAAATTGGGATCAAATATTGACTTTGTAAACTTCAATCTCTATAGTTTTGAAGAAATGACTTCCAGCTAAATACTCTCGGGAATAATCCTTTTGGCTGGAAACTGGAGTATAAGTACTTCCTAAATTGCAATAACTATCTGAAAATTAATCACTATTTTCCTTGATAACGAAGTCACTCTCTCCTATTCCAAATACCTGCAAATAATTTTTATAATGTCCAACAGCTCCATCAAAATTACGATACTACTTATGAAGAGAATGTTTGGTCAGTTAAAATATAAAAGCATTTTTGTCACAAAGATCCTGGTTGTGCTCAGGAGATTCCCAAGAAATGGATGAGTAGCCACCAAATACCTAACCAGCTTCACTTAATATAAATGATATTGTTGGACCTTGATTATCGCATTTTTCATGGAAATCTGCTGCTTTAAACCCATCTCTGGTTGCTTTGTATAAAAATTAAGTTGTTCCACTAATAGTGAATAACTATGGAATAGTAATATGCTCTTATCCTATCTTTCTCAATTACAATTGAAGGTCAACTAATCTTCTAAATTCATTGTATTTATCAATGTTTTAGTGCCCTATCTTAATTTAAATATCTTATTCATTGTCTCGTAATGTTTCTTATTCTTTATTTTATTATTTTTCACTATGTTTTTTGAAGCTCTCACTACAAATAAAATTAAAGATTTTAAATTACGAGAAATCTGAAATGAAACTCAGGATGTAATCTCTGTTTTAAGATTGATGATTTGCTTGGTCATCAATTGTAGGCATCCTTAAGAGATGACAACTTTTACTAATCATGTCTTGTATCTCCTCCACCTTGAAATTTCTCTCCCTCTAGATGAATTAATTAATATCCTCAATCAATATTTGCATTCTATTTATTAAACTTTTCAGATTCGGAAGTATTTTTATGAATGATTCATCCAAAAATTTTTGGTTAAATTCAAAATGCAAACTCTCATCCTGAAGAAAGTGCGAATGAGAGGCATTTTAAAGACATTTACTGCAGAGCAATTTATTTTGCTGTTTGCAATAAGTTTTGGCATTTTTTATCTAGTGTTAATCACATTTGATCAGATAGATATTATGCTCTTAAAGCTTTCTAATCAAGTATAGGGGTTCTTATAGCGGCTGATTAAATGCACTCAGATGAGATCGATCGAAGGGACACTAAATTAGGTGGCTTTAGATCTAATCTCTTTGGTTTTAATAGCATTAAAGGCATAGTACATCGCCACAAGGAAGTTGAAGGGGTTTTCTATCCTATAGATTGTAAAACTTATTACAGCAGTAGCAAATCAACAAATTATTTATATTTTGTTCCATTATTAATGATAATAACTTAATATTGAATGCTTAAATATTTAATCACCCACAATTTTCAGGATTATGGGGTTTTGGGGTTTTGGGGTTTTGGGG